CGGGGAGGCGAGGGGCTGCGGCCGTGGTCAGGCCAGAAACCGGCCCCGAGGAGCTGAATCTGCTCCATGAGCGCCGTGGCACTGAAGTCGCGGTGCAGTCGGATTCAGCCCCCGGGTGTCTGTCACTTCCCTGTTTCCTTACAACCGGTTTCACCCTCGCTGCTGGTTGTTGTCAGCGATGGGGTGTTCTCCCTGCCAGCTCCTGTGTGGTTCTACAGGAATACACTGTCACCGGCAGCAGCTTTAACTGTTAAAATAGTTGGGAGATAATAAATTAGTCTAGGCTACGGTGATATGTTTGATAATGCTGGAGTGCACTTACCTTGTGCTTGTCCTCTCAGGCATGCTCTTTGTGAAGAATTCCGAGTGTGGCTTTCTGCTGTGACCCAGATAGAGCTGGAGCCAACCATTGACATCTCTTGTGCTAAATACGAATATACTGGTCAGTCTATAAGCAGTCCTTTCCCCAAAGCTTCTGTGGGTGTATAGGGAACCGTACATCTACAGAACACCTAATTACATAACCCACCACAACCCCTTTGTAGTGCCAGAGGGTCCTAGAAGTTATCAGCAGCAAATCAGTGTCTCAGAAAATGAAGTCCCAGTTACGGAAAAACTGTTGCTGTTGTCATGTTGCTGATGGCTTTAACTCGGCTCAGTGTTGTTGCAAGCCCTTACCTGTTTGGAAATGTTCAGACTATGTTTGCTTTCATGCAAAAGGGTGGTGTATTCAGCTTCCAAATGCCACAGTTGAGTTTGTGAAGCCCGATGCTAAAATGTCACCTCAGTGAGTCCAGGTTACAACTGCTCTTAGCCTTTTAGTCATGAAAAATCACTGTGGGAAGAGGAAAACTTTTACTGCTGTCAGCTCTACTGCTAAAAAGTCTTTTGTGTAACCAATTGTTGGTCCAACTTTTCTGTTCCCAGGACTCTCCATCCCCTCTATTCCAGCAACAAGCCTACTCAGAGGGCAGCTCTGTATTTAACAGATCTTGAATCGTTATTTAAGTCAGGAATCTCTGTCCCCTGTGCCCAGTGACAGCTGTGGGGTGGATGACAAGCTGTAAGCGCCTGTACCTTCAGAGCGAGCTAATCTGCCGATTGTAGTGGAATCCCACAGAAGTTAAGTCTTGCAAATCCTGGGCAGGCGATGCTGACGAGTGAAAATGCAGTTCTTGGAAGGGACATGTTTTTTCTTGTTGTATTCTTGTGAGGACAAAGGTGGGAAGCAGACATTGGAATGAATCATGCGTGTACTGGAAAGGTGCTGCTGCAGCAAAACGTGTGTAATTACAGATGTCTTGCTGTGCCACGATGATGAGCTGGAAGGTCGGAGAATTGCTTTCATCCTGTACCTCGTCCCACCCTGGGAGAAAAGCGACGGGGGAACGCTGGACCTGTACAGCACAGATGGTAAGAGCTCGGAGCTCCGCCTGAGATGGCTGAAAAAGATGAAGCTTATGTGCCCCCCAACTCTCTCCTTGAACAATACAAGGAAGATAAAGAGTTTCTCCTTAGTCCAAAGAAGCTGATGTATTTGTAAAATTTGCACCTTAGAGATGGGCTGTAGCAGTCAGTCGTTGCAGACAATGCTAATGGGTGACAGCAGAGAAAAAGGAGAAGCTAAAGAAAAGGGGAATCTTTCCCCCACCCTGCTTTTTTGCAAGGGCCAGGAGTGAAGGCAGGATGGAAGCGATGCCAGTAACTGTGCTTGGAACTCTAAAGCGATGGAGATAACTTCCCTTTCCAGCAACAGAAGTCCACTGATTCTTCATCAAGCCCTTGCTCTGAGCTCCATCCCTTAGACACAAGTTTCTCACCAGTCACAATGTCATGAAGTCAGAGAGAAATGGCAGTTTCTAGTGAGTTCCAGTTCGTATCTTAACCGGAGTATATTTTCTTCTTCCCCAGAACACTTTCAGCCACAGCAGATCGTCAAGTCGTTAGTGCCTTCATGGAATACACTGGTTTTCTTTGAAGTGTCTCCAGTCTCTTTCCACCAGGCAAGGAGCTGTCTTTTGTTCCTTTTTTTTTAATTCTCATTGTTGTGGTTGTTCATTCTGTGTGTTATTACAGTCCTGATAGGGAGGGAGAAGGGAAAGGGTGAAGTGTGGGTGATACTCATGCTAAGTGCGAGGACTTTAAGGAGGACAAGAACTGACAACTTTAAACTGTCAGTCTAGCTTCATCATCCTGAGGGGAGGAAATTTCCGTTTCTGTTTTGTGTTGCTCTCCAGGCAAGCCACTGCTGTGGATTTGGCTATGGCAAGGAGAGAGATTTTTGTTTGTTTGCTTGTTTTAAACTAGCTCACATTTTTCACACCATTACTTTGCTCCAGAAGGGTTCTTCAGCACTTGCCTTGCCTGCGGGGCACTGTGCAGATATGGCTGTACCGCCTCTGGAACACAGATGCAGTGTGGTGCCCTACAGCAAAAATGCTGATAAGTAGCATAAAGAAGATGTCTGGAAACAGGATGAGTAATCTGTGGAACTGCATGATCCAAATACCCAACTGAAATCTGAAACTCCTGTGTGCTTGAGAGGACCACAGGTTATAACGGGGCCAAAGAGCAGAAGGCTGGAGAGGAAGACGATCAGTGATGTAGGTCAGGCATGTCCTCACCTAGACAGCTTAGGGTTTTACTTTTCTGTTATTTATGTCTTACAATTAACTAACAGAAACATCTGCTTGGCCACTGCCCTAATTGTTTTCAGGTAGTGATTTAATCTTGTCATAAAAATCCATGTTCCACTTAGCCTTGTGACTGCCTCCTACTGACCTAAACTTAAATCCCATGGAACAGCACTATGCAGAGTCCTTTGTACTGTCTCTGTTACACTGATGCTCTGTCAACACAGGCAATAAACTCAGCTTAAATAATAAACTTATTTGTAAAATAAGCATTAAACTCAACTGGGAGTACCATGAATCAAAGCCTCCCAGATCTGGACCTCGCTGCTTGTGCCCAGAGTATTTGCTGAAGCACTCAATCATTTATTTGACCTTTTTGTCAGTAAAGCATAGAGTCTGTGAATTACCCTCAGGCCCTGTAAGGGTCGGACTGGTACGCAGCCTTCACAGTACATGCCAGCCTTAAAGCCCTCTCAGAGATTGGGCATTTGAGCATTTGTGGTGTACGCTCCTTCAGGAGATAACACATAAAGCTGTGGGTGTTTGCTGAGCAGAGTGGGTCCATGAGCTTCCAACGGCAGGCAGTTTCTGGTTTCCATTTACCAGTTGATTTAAGATTCAGTAGCCATTCCAGATAACCTAGAACACCTCAAAGTCATGCAAGGAAAGGGCTGCTACAGCTCTGTAACAATCAATAAGAGCCAAAACCTTTTTGGAACAGAGTGTGTTTCTTCTTCCTGTTCTAAAAAATAAAGTAAAAAAACCCATCACAAAGTCTTTATGTGCTATTCAAAAATTCAGAGTTTGTGGCTAGCAACCAGTCATAAGGGGATGGCTTTCTCTTCGCTCTGCCATTGCAGTACAGCACTCTAGAATGTGAAATTGCTCAGTTTAGCCTAATTTACCTCAGTGTGTAACCTGACGAAATTGAGATTTAACGGTGGCCACCACTGTGCGAAAACCAAGGGTTTTCACAGACCAGGTTAAATGCTGGGACAGAGGGTTGCCGACAGAGAGGTAGACCTTTAATCCAGAGCCAAAAGCATCAGGCAAATGCCCTTCATGATGGCTTGTATTACAGCACTTCCTAAAAATTAAAACACACAAAAGTAGACTGATACAGTCTGCTGTGGCCTGCAGATGCTCAGTGATTTCTGAGTTCCCAATTAAGCTGTGACGGCTAATTTTTGCAGCCTATGATAGCTGCTTCTTCAACAGAACAACTGGTAGAAAACTCAAATAGTATTACTTGTAATAACAGAATGACTCAAAGCTCTCAGAGGGAATGGATTCTGCTGGGAGCTTGGAGTAAAAGCTTGGACTGGGATTCTGGAAACCTACAATGGATTTGAGCATCGAAGTTTGCTTTAAACCCTCTTTCTGTAAACTAAGAATAATCCTGCCTGGTCTAGCCCTGGTGTGACTTCTCTGTGTATGCAGTAGGCTCTCTGGAGCCAGGTCAGTCCTACCTCTGACGAGTCTACATCGTGCCTGTGACAGCTGGTCCTTGAATGCTTTGTAGTCTAAACAGTAACGTGCTGCTCAACGTTGTTCCAGGTGTCAGAGGTTCTGTCTGAGGAGAAGTGCCGCTTGTCTGTGAGCGGCTGGTTTCACGGCCTGTCAATAGCCAGACCTGCACGCCACGTTGAAACTCCCTTGCTCAGGAGCCCACACATCCCCTATGATGTGAGTAACAAGCCTCGATCTGCTTATCTGCATTTCTGTTGCTTTCATGTCCCTGGAATACCTGTAAGGGGATGCACTGATGCTTGGGGATGCTTTAATCTTTAACTTATCCCATTCTCTTTTTTTTCCTGTCCATAAATTCATAGCTAGTTTCCTTCTTGTATATCTTGTATCTCTTTCCTGACTCTCTACTTTTTCCATGCCTACAATAGTGCAGAGAATGCAGCAAATACTAGTGGTGCAATTAAAAAAAAATAGAAAGGAATGGAGGGGATGTGTGTGTAGGAATCCAGTCCTCTTGCCAGCTGGAGGGTAAGGGGGAATTGGGGGATCCTTTTTACTTTTGCAAATTCAGCATTCAAATCCATTTCCCTTCCAGCATGAAATCTTGTATGAGTGGATCAATCTTGTTTATTTGGACATGGACGCCCAAGCTCAAATCCAGGAGGAATTTGAGGAGCGATCAGAAATTCTCCTGAAGGATTTTCTTAAGGTGAGCGCAGTGGTTCAATCTGATGTGGTCTGCTAGAACAGGTCACCAGGCTGGTAGGTACCACATGTCCTACAGGCTGAGCAAGGGCTTGCATGACACCATCTGGTTTCACACTCTAAAGGAGAATGGACTAGATGACCTCCAGAAGGTCCCTTCCAACCTCAACTATCCCCTCTGCCTGCTGTTACACTGTTGCATAAGGACTCATAAAAGAAATCACAAAATTTGGTCCAACATTATTTCCTACAGGAAACAAAGCAGAAGGATGGAAACACATATCATCCTCCCTGCTTCCTGGCCTTGTAGTGACCAGAGTGTCCTTCCCTGTTCCTCAGCCTCTTGCAGCACTTGGGGAACTCAACCTGTGTATGAAACCAATGACCCATAATCGTTCTGGTCTTACTTGAAACGCTTTTCTTCTCAAAGCTGATTTACCTCTCATTTACTGGCCATCCCTATCTCAGTGAAGCTGCATTCTCACCCAGCAGACAATCCGAGTAGCGTTTGATACTTGCTGGTCACTGGCATTGAAAAGCCATGATGCCCACCAGGTTATGCCCCTCAGTTCAGCACCCCTTAGGAGCCTCAGACGAGTTAGAAAAAAAATGAGTATGCCTTTCCTGAGAGCAGAGGATGGCTGCTTCTAGCACACCAAGGGAGACGTGGGGGCTAAATGTTGAAGTTTCTGCACTATCTTTCTCTCCTAGAAAGACAAATACCAACTGCTATGTGAAGCTTTGGAAAGCAAAGACATCCAGTGGAGCAGCCGGGGGCCTGCCAATAAAAGGTGGGGAGTGACAGCACCCTGTGCCTATTGATCAGACCGAGCAGGATCTGCCATGAGGCTGCACTGGTTGATGCTGCGCCCATGGACATGGTCCTTGTTGGTTCTCCGACAGGGAGATACATCTGCTGATACATTTGCTGTCTTTCAGGCTCTATGAGACAGCAGAGGAAGACAGCCTCCCTGATGTGCTGAAGAAATTCCTGCAGTTCTTACGCTCTGAGGCCTTGTTCTTACTGCTTTCCAACTTCACTGGCCTAAAGCTGCACTTCCTGGCTCCCTCTGATGAGGATGAGGATGCTGGGGAAGGAAGAGCAGCAGACACCGCTGGGCCCCACAGTCCCAAAGCTGAGCAGGAAGAGACTGAACAACACACTGATAGCAATGCCCATCAGCCAGACAACATCCCCGAAGCACAAGAGAGTGAGACGCAGAATGGTAAGTCAAGCAGCAGCAGCGTGAAAGGACTTGACCAGAATCCTGATGTTGAGGATGTTGGCAGCAGAATTCCCAATGATTTCCAGGGAACTAAGATTTCACCTTGTACTGCAGCCAGCACAAGGCACTAGCACAAACGTAAGACTTGAAGCATGTCATATTGGATATCCAAAATAAGTGATCGTCGCAAAATAATTTGGAATAAAATAATGACTAACTTGAAGATACTGTTTTGAACAGACCTAAGTCTTAAGGGTGGGACTTCTGTAGGACCCACTAAGGCATGGGGAGGAGAGGGGATGTTAGTTACCAGATAGTCTTTTGCCAATAGTTACATGGTTTCTACATCCACATACTCCTGCTTCATATAAAGCAGAATGAGACCAAATCAAAAGGAAGAAAGCGAACAGATCACAAGTAAAGGTAATTTTAGAATTAGAAAACTGATCCCCAAAACTAGGATTTAACTTTTCAGAAAACACTGTCAGATGAAATAACCACTTAGTTGTCAGCAATGAGATGCCATTGCTATACAAGGTTAGATTAATTGTGGATTCATGGATTGGTGCTGTTTATTTAAAACAGCAGCTTTGAAGTTTAAAAAATGCTCATCTTGCACAGAGTCAGGCAAGTTAACCGACACTGGAATAAAAGGTAATAAAAAAAACCCCAAATCCTCCTGAAAATCCCACCAGAACACTTACCTGGTACAGAGGCTTTGTTTTTCTGATTTCCATGGCGAGTCATCTACCTCTTCTGTCATGTTGCCGCTGTGTGCTTTTAAACTCAGGTACGAAGAGGGCGTAGTTTGTGGCTGCACAGATTGAAAACTGAGCTAGAGCCATGAGAAAAAAAAAAAAAAAAGCTTCCCCAAATTCTGACATACCTCCTAGGATGGCACACAAAGAGCGAGTTCAGAGCAATATCCTCCTTCGCTGAAGTATCTGGTAGTTCCGGGGTATTTCCAGAGCAGATTGGTTGCTGGCTTTTGAGGGTCAGAGCTCTGCCGTAAATCCAAGGGGGGACAAAACAAAAAAGGAAGAACTGGATAAACTAAAGCACCCCATTGTTCTCCCTGGCTTGTTTGTTTCTGCTTCTAGGCTCAGGAACCCCTGTGTGTGCAGGGGAGCTGAGGCGCTGGACCCACAGGCACTATACTCTAGTCCATGACACTCAAGCAACAGAATTTGCTCTCGACCTGCTCTTCTTCTGCGGCTGCGAGGGTAAGTGGACACAACAGAGATGTTGGACTCTCCTTGCAAGGTTTGCATAAAGGAGAGGCTTCTGAATTCTCAGAAGTGCTGCAATAGCCAAAATTTCCCTGCTTTTTCCTACACAGAACGGCTCCATGGACTTCATCCTAGTCCTCGTTTCTGTGTAAACCCTGGTTTCGGTAGTCCTTACACAAAGATTTGGGATTGTGGCCTTGGGATCAGCTTTGACCTTTCCGGCTGGAGCCAGGAGGTGGCGCTTGGGACAGAGGGAAAGGCTGTGTCCTCCAGATCTCTCACTCGGCAATGGCTCTGGCCACAGTGGAGGGTCAGGGGGCCAGAACACCATGCTAAAAATGTTCCATTTTGCCCCTTTTCTCATCAAAATCACCAGCACCTCCAAATTCACAAAGCCCAGGGTTTTCAAAAGTTACTTTAGGCATGTCTAGGCATTTTTGGTTGATGGCTAGTTAGATAGTGGTGAAAACAAGAACCTAAACGTCAGCATTTAGGACCAGCTGAGCCCAGAACACATGGTTTAAACCACTCAGCCCATGCCTGCGATCATACTGAAAGCCTTTGCATATCTGCTAAGGCAGAACTGCTCTCCCTGCAAGAAGAGAGCCAAGCAACCTTACAGGGCTTGTCTGGGTAAAAGGCAAATCCAGTATGTTTGCTTCGAGTAGTTTTTGAACAGAAGAAAAAAAATAGACTAGCAAGAGGTAAAATGGGGGTGTCCTGTATCCAGTAACTGTGGGGAGTGGGGTGGAAAAAAGGAATCTCCAGTAAGGCTCTGTAGAGCTGGGACAGCACCGAACTTTCTAAGAATCTTTCTTTTCTGTGTTAAGACTGGGATCCAGAATATGGTGGCTTCACTTCCTACATTGCCAAAGGTGAAGATGAAGAGGTAAGGACCTCAGTTGCTAGCTGCAAAATAGATAAAATTGTTTAGGGTGCAGAGGCATAATTCCACTTTGTCGTAAGGTTAACGCAATCCTGAGGGGGCTCAGCATCGCACCAGAGCCTTTTTGCCCGAATTACCGCTCGTGGGTGTGGCTCTGTCTTCAGCTGCAAGAGGCTAGCGTTCGCTTGAAGCTTAAGTTTCAGGCTCCGACAGTGCCTAATGCCAGCTGCACCCAGGGAGGGACACAGGGCTGTTCCCTTCCAGGGACGTGCTCTTTACTCAGGTCACCCTCAGTATCAGTACTAGTGACAGGGCCGAGCAGCCGTACTAATAAGTCCAGATTCCCTTACTGTCTAATACATGCTTCAGGTTGAGGAGTATTAAAAGAAAAATAGTGACATAGTTCGTTTTCTAATCCCAGACCCTTGTTCTGACTAGATTGTGAAACTGTTTTGTTTGTTTCTTCCTCAGAATGATATCAAAGCTGTTCTTGTGGAACTAGTTTCTTGCTTTTCTTTCCTGTCTTCTAGCTGCTGACAGTGAATCCAGAGGACAACTGCTTGGCCTTAATTTATAGAGACAAAGAAACGATGAAGTTTGTGAAATACATCAATCATCGTAGCCTGGCACGCCTGAAAAAGCATCCGAACAGAACAGGATTTTGGGATTTTTCCTTTGTCTATTACGAGTGATGGCGCAGAGCGCGACCATTGCCCCGGAGAAGATAGCAGTGGTAGGGGGTGGGGAGCAGGTTTCTACCCAGGTGTTCAGCTGGGGCCTAAGCCCAAACTTTGCCGCTGCCTTCACGCTGTGTCCAAGCTGTACCCTATCACAGGGGGTCCAGGTGACTTTTTAACTGTACAAATGCAAATCCAGTCTTCTCCCGAGTCCATCGTAACACACGCTCGCGACTGCTTTTAACGCTGTGTGGAAGCGGTCATCATCACACAGCTCTGTCAGCTTTCCAGCTGTTCTCCCATGGAAATAGCATCTCAAACCTGTCAGGGTGAAAATTACAGTTGTACATTGCCCTAAGCTGATGGCTGATTTTATTTAAAAAAAAAAAAAAAAAAAGTGGGTCACTTAAGTGCTTCAAGGTGTGGTTGGGCAAGTTTTGTGACAAAATGTCCAGGACATTTTCTGGGGCTTAACCATGTTCACTGTTTGTAGAGGCAGAAATAAAGGAGCTGCCATGGGAAATATGAGGTTTTTCCAGCTGCACAACTCTGTGGAGTTGGGAAGGAACACAGCGAGGCTACAAAGCTGCTGGCATTGAGAAGGACCTGGCACTGTAACAAGGAGCAGGACTTTGTTATGCTAAATGCTGTGCAGACAGACCCAGGTGCAGCCCTTTCTCTAAAGGATTTACGAACCAAATAGAGAGAGAAGAGTCCTGCTCCCACGTACTCTGCTTGTGTGGGTATGTGGATGGGTCTCTTGCTTCAGCTGTGACGGGGCTGTGGCTCCAGCCAAAGGGGACTGGCAGCAGGGTGGTGGTAACTCACCTCTTCTGGCTTGTCATCCACAGGCAGCGGGAGGGTCACTAGCAGCGTGGCCTCACATCGTGTTAGTTTTGTCCTGGGGTCTGCTGGGCTCTGATGTGGCTTCTGTCAGCAGAGATCAGCTCAGATCTTTCCAGCTAGCAGACATCCAGCTCCCGTGGCAATCGGTACAAGAAAGGTGGGGGGCTTGGTGCAGTACTTTCCTCTGGGACGCTCGGCACTGCTTGCCTGCCCCATGTTCACTGCACGCAGGGCTGTGCCAGGCCGGGGTGTCCGGCCCACCAAGCAGTGCAGCTGCAGAGCTGTGCCGCTTGCTTCAGGAGGCGGCTGGACTGCAGAACACCCCGCTGGAGGCTCGGCCCTGGCCTGCATATGCTTGCCTTAAACTTGTTCTTGGCAGTGAATAGACACAGGTGTACCTTCAGCTTATCCAAGCCAGCGCAGGCCAGGGGCTTGCAGGAAGCTGGGGAGGGTGCGTGCGCTGTTCCTCCTGCCTCTCCGGGGCTGGGAGAGGGTGGCTGCGGATCAGAGCCTGCTGCCTCTCCCGTCCCAGGCCTGTTGCTGCAGACCAGCACGTCGGTGTCAGACCACAGCTGGCACAGGAGGAGCAGGAAGCTCAGAGCAAGGCTCGCTGTGTTGGCACACGAGTGCTCTACACCCCTCTCTGCGCAGCAGCGGGACATCCTCTGGGCATGCCTTCAGCAAGACACAGGGGCAACAGCCTTCAGCTGTGATGCCAACACACAAGGTTCAAAAAAGGAACAACCGAGGCATGAAGCTGCTGCCATGGCTTCCCAAGTGAAGGGTATCACAGCTCCTGCTGCTGCCAGAGCAAGGGGACGGCACGGCTGTTCAGGGGGTGATGTGCAGGACTGGACAGGGCAGTGTCCGCGCAGTGCTGGACCACGAGCGGTGGCCCAATTCCAGCTGTTGCCTCCTGCACTGCGGGGCAGGAAGGACAGCTGGAGGGTGGTTGCTGCTATTGCAAGATCGACACCAGCTTGTTCATATTCTGACTCATCTCCCTCAGATGGCTTCTCCATGCACTGTCAGGACTTTCTTGCTTGGTTTTAATCTTTGTTACTGTTTTATGCTACTTACAAAGGCAAGGGGACAAAGCTAAAAACAAATCCTGAAGCAAGGCTAGGACTCCCTTCTTTATGAATCATTGGTTTCCAAGGCACTCTGCTGCCTTTCTGGGCAGCAGCTATTTTTGGGGAGAAAGTTGTTCTTATTCTGAATTGCTCCGGTAGAAAAAGGCAAGTAATGGAGGTTTCAAAGGAAAAAGAAAAAGCAAAAAAATTATTTGGGTAGTTTAAAATAAAGGTGATGGATACCACAGCTATTCACAGCATAGTCGGCTAGGCAAAATTGGGATTAAATTAATTAATGAAACAAAGTTACTTATTGTAGTGCATTGGGAGCCCAAGAGCATGATTCGTAGGAGGTCTTGGAACAGCCTCCCAGAAGACTGGGAAGAAGCTGGGCTCTCTGAAGCTTGCTGCTTTTTCATAATAAATAATACACTAGAGGGCACACCAGCCTCTACTAGAGCCAGCCCGTATCTAGTTGATCACACGAGGAACCGCCCTCCTGCCTCCAGCGACTGAAACTAAGCCATTTACGAAGCCAAATTTGCAGTTAGCATTCAGAGATTTAAAAAAATCAACACGTCCTTGCGCTCCCACCCTTGCTGTTAGGTGCCGAAAGCGTAAGACAGCCCGGCGCACGGCTGGCACTGGGGGTGCAGGGAAAGGCTCCGCTCGCCAGGATTTCAAATGTCACCAGCTACCTGGGGAGAGGCAGGTGTCTTTGTGGTGCTGTGACAATAATGGGAGCCCTCCCTGTGGACGCTCTTGCTGGGTACAAATGTATATTTACAATTAGGTGTAGCTGCTTGCAAAGTACTCTGACCATTATGGAAGGGAATATGAATATTGAACGCATACATACCCACAAAACGAGTGAGCAGGACACCATAGAGAAATAGGATTGAGAACAGCAAGTGACCAGAGTTCCAGCGTGAGCAGCAGAGAACAGAAAGGCCATAGCAGGTGAGACGGCCTCATGCAGATGTCGGGCAGCCCGGCTGGACGAGGATGCAGCTTCCCACCAGCTGTCTGCACCTCCCCAGCCTGGCGCTGGGTGCAGGGGAGCAGCAGCCTTTGGTTACTCAAGTGCCGAGTTATTCAAATGCTTCACAACAAACTCCTCAGGATTTGGTGGTGATCAGTTTGCCAAGGAGCTGAAAAGAGGAACAATTCAACAGTTTAGCTGTAGGCCAGACTGAAGGGGCGGTCTCAGCACTCATGAACATGCAGTAAAGAAGTTCCCGGGTATTCAGTGAATTAGTATTAATTAAGATGAGCAGCAGTCCGCAGGACTTGGAGAAACAGGGGCTAAAATCAGCTAACCTGTTGCCAAGTTTCAGTTCCAATTCTTTTGGTTTTTTTTAAACTCCAAACTGGAACTTGAACTAGGAGACTGAGAATCACCGCTGCACAGATCCCCTTCAGCAGGCGGCAGTGCAGCCCAGCACCCCTGCAGCATGCATCCCAGGCTGCAAAGGGGCTGCATGAGGAAGGCTCCAGCCCAAAGGGAAGTTTCAGGCAGGCACTGGAGTGCCCCAGCAGGGCAGGGCAGGGTCCAGACCCCATCCCCACCACACGTACTACCAAGGTGCAGTGCCACCTAAGCAGCCCTGCCCATGAATTTTTAGCAACACGCAGCTCTACTAGCATGGTTTCAGGGGTTATTCTGTACTTAAGCAGCAGCTTTACCTGCTGGGACCAGTTCCCTTCCAGTACCCACAAAGGGGATTGCTGGGCAGTAGTCCCAGGCTGAATTGTACCCATGGGGACTGCCGGCCACTCATCTCCTGATGCAGGCTCAGCCTGTGTCAGGTTGCTGCTGCACGCCAGCCGAGGGCTGCTTTATTTCAACAGCCAGCTGCAAACCCAATATCACTTCCTCTTACGAGACGTGGATTTTACATTTGGCAAAGATAAAAGTTGTTTTTACAGACAAATAAATGACAAATTTGTTGTCAGAAACTTAGCTGGAGGAAATGAGCCTTATCAGAGGTCTGGACTGTGACCGAAGGACTGGCCGCACTGCCAAGAGCAAAACAGAGCTGGGACTGAAATGCCCGGTGTGCAGCCCTGGAAATGAGGATGATGGGAAAGCTGGTTTCTGATCAGAGCCACTCTCTTATCATTGAATGGACTACCTAAACATAAGCAAGCATTAGGATTTTGAACATCAAGAAGCTGAAACAGTGGGAACAGGTACAGCAGGTGGCAGAAAGCCCAGCACTTATGCCAGGAGAGTGCTCTGTAATCAACTCTCAAAGCTCGCTGCCTTAGAACAGCATGGGTGGCTCACCGCCCTTTTACCAAGGAGCTGCAGTGACTAACAACCAGGTTCTTAAAAGGATGCAAATGAGCTCCTGCTGCAGATCTGAAGTGACAGATCTGTGCTTCTGGCAGCGCAGTTCTCGGTTCTGGAGGGGCCGAAGCAGTGCCAAGGGGCTGTCTCGGGGATGAGAACACCTTGCAGGAATCACATTCCCCGTTCAGCTGGCTGCAGGCTCACCGGCTGCTCTGTGACCAGCGGTGGGCTGCGGGCTTTCATTCAGGATTGGCAAGTAAGAGACAGACCAGTTACAGAACACAAACAGTCCCCACAGCCCCGAGAAGCTGCCCAAGGACTTCGCTTCACAGAGGTGGGCTGCCTCCTCCCCACCTGCGTTGCAAACACCGATCTGTACAGCGGCACGGCGCAGGAACTGGGAGAGCTGGGGCCCAACCTCCATCCTGTGCAGGATATTTTTAGCTTCTAGAAGAATTCTGCTTTGGCAAAGGTTCTAAAATGTCTTTAGATCTAAGATACACCCTCACTGTAATATTTTAATCCAATTCTAAGAAATCCCACAAGTAATAAACAGGTTTGAGCCAGGAGCCAAGAGATTTTTTAATACCTTATTCTTTTGATGCCATTAAGTACTGCCAGCTCTTCATGAGTATGCACCAGCTTGGGTGTGTAGCTTGGTTTTGTAGTTCCTGAAATGCACCCTTGCCCACCTCGGTGTCTGCAGTTTTTTCCAGCAGTAGCATGGAACAAGTAGCTGGAAGCAAAACTTCCTGCAATCCAGGTGTGGGGAGAGTGTTGGATATGAAAGAGACCGCTTC